TTATTTATAGATAAATTTTTTTAACATAAGAAAACAACAAAATTAAACCAGTACAATGTCAATTAACATTTTTGGTCAAATTTTTTATTAATGTAAGAAAACAACAAAACTAAACCGGTACAATGTCAATTAACATTTTTGGTTAAATTTTTATTTTTTTTGAATGAAATTTTGATACATAGCCTTTTTTTATCTTGTTTTTTTTAATAAAAAAGAGTTTTTGATGTTTTGCGAAAATGGTTGCATTGTGTAATAATTGATAATTGATAATAATTGATCACTGCCTCAAGGAAATTTTTTTGGTACAAAAGTTGTATTTATAAAGAAAAAAAAATATAAAAATGTATTCATTTTCACATCATTTTTGTAAATTCTTTTTAATAATGATAGTAATAGTATTTTTCTGATAAAAAAATATATAATTTTGATCTACATAGGCATGTTACACCCCAATATTCCATGACAGAGCAAGAATCACGTGGACTCAGTTTTTATCAAAATGTAAATTGGATATTTTGGGATGTTTTTGCACATCAATATACCCCTTAATTATTATAGACATACTCTCTTGAAAACACTTTACTATGAATCTTTGGAATAGTTATTTCGATGACACTCCAGTTAAAAACTGGTCCACTTTTCAGTTTCACAAAAATTGGATAGAGACTCACAAAAATGATCCTGAACAATTAATTTATATATAGCAAGGCCATGGACGCATTTCTTAAAAGTCTACGTGCGATAATCAATCAAAGCTCAGATCTCCCAAAAATCTGGAAAGCTAACAAACTTTTAGTCAATTGCCAGGCAAGTACTATCTTTCTGTAGGGAATGCCCTCTGCAGTAAACTTTTAGTTCACTGTGGCTGTCCACAACAAGGAAGACATGACTTTTAGTTATCCTTCTGATGATCTTTTAGATCGTTGTGGTTGTGGCATCCATAACAAGGAAGACACAACTTTTAGTTGTCCTTCTGATGATCTTTTAGATCGTTATGGTTGATATATTAATAGCATTGTTTTAGTATGCCAAAAGCATTTTAAATATGTTAATCACATTTTTTTCTCTTTATTTTCTCAATTCTTTTCATACCAAGAATAAGAATCAACATAAATCAGGAAGTAATATTGATATTTTATGGTCCAGTGTTGGCGAAACTCTTAAAGAAAAGAATATTAACATGGGAATGAACTACATACAGCTTATTTCTTGTGAAGGTGTAAACATTGGCAATATTGGGGATAAACAATCATTCGAGACACAGATAAAAAAAGGATCTAGTGAGTTGGAACAATGATTATGTATATATAGCATAGTTTAATTTTTTACAGTGCATTATTATTATTTTGCCTTTATTAAATATTATATCAAACAGGTTTTGAAACTAAAGATAAGGAGAATCTAGCTGGTGATTCATATAAATGCCAACGTACAGAAGGTGAAAATATGAAACATTTGGATAACAAAAACTTTTTTAATACTGTAAAATATGATGATAACAAGAATGAATTGGAAAGACAAGCCGGGCAGACAGTACAGTATGATGGAAAGATATGGGTTGTGGGTAACAAAATCAATGTATGTGACGCATTAACGAAATGGCAGAAACGAATAGACCAACCACACACTGAGTAACTATTTTTTCAACAATATTATAGATATCACTCCCGGTACAAATAGTGACTTTATACAATCCCTGCCTAATGACATAATGCATGAGATGATGCGGTTTGGATCAGTGGAAAAGCAATCTGTTACAGAAAATGTGAAGGAGCTAATTGTTAAATTTATTAAAGTATATTATTCTTTGTTTCACTATATATATAATCAATCTCTATTGGCTGTTTGCGATTATAGCATGTTTATTGGTTTCTTTTTTAAATCTTCTAATTTCTTCATTATAGGCAGATGATTTTCGCATGATTGTTGATGAGAGCCATAGTGAAACAAGACAAAATGATACTTTGAAATTCGTATGGGACTTTGCAAATCTTCTGTAAGAAAAATAGGTTAATTTGGTATTTGTTACTTCTTAAGATTCACATTCAAGTTCTTTTTCTTAGTGCGGATTCATTTGAAAGAGATAACGACCTTGCAGACTCCAACTTGTCCAAACTAGCATATCAAGAAATTTTTCTAGCACCTGCCATTCATAGTTTGTTCTGTGGAATGCATCAGGAGATGCACATTTTTTTGTTAGTATACCTTATAAATTTGTTTAATTTTGATCTATTTTTAATGAAGGTAATAACATATATTCATATAGTGGTGAAAAACAATTATTTGCATCATCTGAAGAACTTAATCTGAAAAAAACCAATAAAGAATCTTGTGATGTTGGAAATAAGGTCAATATTATTTGGTCTTTAAAATTGACAGATCTTGAGTTTAGCATTGGTGAGGTTAGCAGATCACCAAACAAGCATGATCATCCTCATTTTTTCAGTGATAAATTAAAGATCGCTAAGATGCTGAAGATCATAATCAATAGAATTGTACGTAAACACAGTGGTGCAGGTGCAAAGTTAAGCTCATTAAAATTATATGGGTTACAAATATATAGTAAGTGTTAAAGAATTTGAAAAATGATTGTATAAGAGTTTTATTAAAATTCTTTTACTTATATCAGATAATGAAACAATTGTCTACGAGTTGTCAATCCCTTTTCGAGGGTTGTATATTTTTCGTGAGGTCATGCAGTCAAAATTGCCAACTAATAAGGTCGAAGTAGCATTAATATCACATACCATACCAATGTTACTCAAGTTTAGGGTTTGTTTTTTTTCCTCTGTTCTATACCAACTTATCTTTTTTTTTATATATCTAACAAAATTTCATCACCAGGAACTACTTATGCAGAGTCTAAAAGGTCTAAAAGATTATATTGTGGATGCATATATTATATCAATAGATTCCAGTGAAAGCGCGAATCAGTTTATCACATGTAGCACAGCGAAAATTCTTTATAAATGATCGGTGTTCTATTTCACATTTTTAAAGAATAAAATTTATTAGTAAAAGGGATCTAAAATATAAAAAATGCGATAAGAATCAAAATTCTTTTGCAAACTATGCCAAAAAATACTTTATGGACCTTTTAATGTAAAAATTGTGAATTTAAAACATCAACTTTTCATAATTTTACTAATTATGGATATGAAAAATTTTGAATGATATAAATAAAAAAGATGAAGATGATAAAAAATAAGCTTGGTAAATCTATCGAAAATAAAATTTTTTTTTATATAATTCCAATTCGATCTTATTATTTTTAGCTATAAAAGAAAATGAACTTGGTAAAAGTATCAAATTGAATCCATCAAACTTTGATGACATGATTACAAAGTGTGACAGTATTAGTATTTTATTATTATCGTAACTCATGAACATAACACGTTTATTTATATTAATCATTAATTAGTGAACATGAGAACATTAAATTCTTATTCACATTATAATTACAGTATGTTTTCTTTTAAGTTCTTTCTAAGCATCCTGGGAAACATAAGCTAAATTCGTATAACATGTGTTTTAATATATGAATGAAAAGGTCAATAGAATAAGAGGGAGGAACAAGTTATTGTTTTCCAGAATAATTATTGATTGTTGGAAGTAATTTGACTTCTAGGTTAAATTTGAAAAATAAGAGATAAACTCTTACATAAATGATTTTATAAAAAATTACAAAGTGAACATATAGGGATAAGTGTATATGAAAAGTAATAATGAAAATAATGGATCTAATGAATATAGACAGTGTGGACTGTAAATCGTAAATCGTAAAAAAATAAATAAATCATTAAAAATATACAAAACAAATAATAATAAACAATAAATAACAATAAATTAATAACAAATAATAATTAAAAAAAAAAAATAATAAAATAATATGTGTTCTATTTTTGTTGCCAATTGTTTCATTAAACATGTAACTTCCACCGAGGGAACAATCAGCGGAACTGCTCTTTATAGAAACAACAATGTTTTTAGAGATTAGCTTCAAAGGATATTATGACAAGACAAACAATGTGTTGAATTTTTCCAAGCATTCAATTGTCATCCTGGTCGAGAGATATGTTATGGAAGAGGGAGTTGGATATGTACGTTTCAATTCAGAATGAACAGTATGAAATATATAGCATTTTATGTAATAGTTGGGGTAGGAGATCAGATGGAAAATATCCTTACTTTTTTTAACTGGCTCGGCTGGATCTGGCAAATCTTTCATGACCAGGCAAATAATTAATTTCCTCTGATCAAAGAATAAAAAATACCTATTAGTAGCTCCGCCCAAAACATTGATGGAAAAACTATACATTTGTCCTTAAAAATAAGATGTTGGGAGGGAAGTTATGAAACATTAGCTCTTTCCAATCCTGCAGGTGCAACAGAATTGAAAAGATTGAGGTACTCATATTTGAAGAAATGTCAATGGTTGATGGTGACCTTTTCACATTTGTTAGCAACACCTTTGCTAAAATTTATAAAAACAATCTTATCTTTGGAGGAATACCAACACTTGTCATAGGAGACCTAGCTCAACTCCCTCTAGTTCATCCTTCTCAAGTATTTAGATCACCAATTTGGAAAAAAATTTCCAACTATTCTTAACTACACCACAAAGGCAGATAAATGATGTTGAATTTTACAGTATCCTCCAAGAGATAAGAACAGGAACTTTGTCAGTTAGAAGCAAGCAAATAATCCAAACAAAAATTAACCAAGAAACTGACCTTTGTAGTTTCGATGATACCATGCATGTGGTTGGCACTTGCAAAGCAGCTCAATCCCTCAACTCAATATTCTTTAATCATCTTCCTTTTGACGAAACATGCAATGATCCAATGGTTTCTAAATACATAGACACACTGGAGTTTGAAATATCAAATGATTATCACTCAATTGCTCAATTCGTGATGTTTCTTAATAATAAGCTATTTGATGAAAAAATATGCAATGGAACTATTGGAATAGTGACAAAAATTTATGATGAAGAGAATGTTGAGGTGACCTTTCCTACCATGGCCAGCATAAGCAAGGTTATTGTTCAAAGAGAAACATCTTACTTTGAAGTTTATGGTAAGAGAGCATCAAGGAATCTATTTCCTCTTGAGAATACACTTGTAACATTGAATGCTGATGAAAATATGTTTATTGAAGGACAAGTGTATGTTGCAATGAGTCGAGTCCCCTCATTGGAAAAACTGAAAATCCTTGATTTTGATTATTCTCAATTAAAAAATATCCAGGGCAGTTTTGGAAGAGTATAAAAGATTGGAGGCTGTGAGCATTGATTGGTTGCAAAAACTAACAATGCTGCTGTAAAAGAAAATATGCTTTGTAAGAAATTGAATGTAATTAATAATCGTGATGTATTATGTGTAAATGTGATGATCACACAAACTATTAAAATCATGCTTAGATTTTACATTTTGTTTGTGGTTTTTTCCTTTTTTTTAAAAAATTAAAGATAGAATAGAATCACACTCTTTTTTAACCTTGCAATGTAGAATTTTATACAAAAAAAATGAGAAAACAAGGAAATAAAGAGTCAATAAAAAACACTAAATTAAAAAAAATAAAAAACAAAATAGAAATAAAGAAACTGGTCATGGAGATGCGTTGGTTGGGTAAGGATGGTGGTGGTGGTTATCGCCACTTGTCATCACTCTAGTCACATTTATTAATAATGGGAAAAAAACAAGCTTACAACTGTTATTGTCTACTAAAATTATTAGATAAAAAATTTATTCAAGTTTTTTAGCCGGCTTAGCCGGCTAAGATTTTTCTACCGGCTAACATCACTAATTATAATAGCCGAGGAGAGCAAAAGAATTTGAGATAAGTGAGGCAGCTTTTGGAAGAATTGTAAGGGAGGCGGCTGGGCCAGGAGTAAGGTTTGGAGCATGTGCAATTAGAATGTTTCAGAGGGTACAGTTTCTTTTTTAACCAAAGGATTGATTTTTTTAAAAAAATATTAATAATTAACCTTGGCATTCAAAATAGATGGCGGAGAGAGGAGTAATTAGACTGTTCAGGGACACGTAAGTACAATACCAAGTTAAAAAATTAATAACTAAAATATGATTTCACTAATCATCTTTTTTTCAATTAGGTACCGGTGTGCTACTTATGCAGGGAAGGAGGAGGTTGGAGTTGAAGGTTTAAGATTTGCTGCAGAATTCAGAAAGTTGATTAGACAAGAAATTCCTTCAAGTCTATTATAATAAAAAAAAATTAGTTTTTTTACATCACTTACTTTAGAATTTTTTTTCCTTACAAGAAATGATCACCATCCCTATCTTAGAAGTTTTACAAGCATGTCAGATAGTAAATCGTGTTTCTTTCAATTTTCTTTTCTTCATGGTTTTGGGTTAAGGGTTTTTTATTGGTTATGATTTTTCATTCTTGGTAAATTTCATAGGTGATTTTCTCTTTTCCTTTAGATAATTTTCAAGCATCTGAGCATCATTTATTTTGAAAAAATAAAGAGCAATTTTCTCTCCTTATTCCTTTTTCAAAATACTTCTGATAGTACTATAATTTTTTGGTTCCATGATAGACCTAATGTAAATTAACTTCATATTAACTATGTTTATCTAGAGATAATCCTACAATAACATGATCATATTACACTGGTAAATACAATTGTAATGTTAAACAAACATTATTGATCCCTGAAATTTGTTAATATAAATGTTCACTTTGTCTGGTTTTGTTGCAGCATGCCCCAAATAAAAATTTTTGTTTTCCAAAGTCAAATTTTAAAACATTTATTTTTATATAATGTCACATAATAAATTATTATCATCAATAACACCAGAAAGAAAGGGATTTGTATTTGAAATTTATGCTGAAATGTATAGTAATGCAGCAGTTAATTCTGATGAAGAAAGTAGAAAAGATTATTTTTTTTTCATTAGTCAAAAAAAAAACAAGGAGCTTTCTGAAAATGAAAAAAAATATTGTAAAGAAAGGTTTATTTATAATTTTGAATTAGATAATGCAACAAAGAAAAAGGGAAAACCAAAAGAATATGACAAGTGTAAATTAACAAGATACTCTGATAGATTCTGTGAAGGTTGTATTAGTTTACAATTACAGAGTTTTTTCATTACTTGGTCATCTGGAAATAACATAGTTGATAATTTTATTCAACAATGTCAAATGAAATCATCTCTACCAGAGTATACTTTAGAATGAATACCTTTTAAGCAATTTTATGATATTACAAAATTAACTGAAGGTGGATTTAGTTCAATTTATACAACTATATGGACAAAAGGAAGAATAATTGATTATGATGAAAATAAAAAAGAATTTCATTATTTTGGTGCTCAATATGTAGTATTAAAAAGTTTAAATAATTCAAGTAATCCAGGAAAAGCCTTTTTTGATGAGGTTGGTAGTGTCATTTAAACAAAAAATATACAATACTGTATTATATAATACTAATATTTATTGTAAAATTAAATCAAGCTCAATTGTTTCTTGCTATGGTATAACTAAATTCCCAGATAATGGAAATTATGCAATTGTTTTAAGTTATCATCCAGAAGGAAATTTAAGGAGTCACTTACAAAAAAATCAGAATTGCAATCTTTATACATTTATGTAATGCATTATATTTCATCCATGAAAAAGATTTAATCCATTGTGATTTACATGGTGGTAATATATTATTATATGGAGGTGCTTGTTATATTACTGGTTTAGGATTATGTGGATCAGTTGATGAAAAATCATCAATAAAATATATGGAATAATATCATACATTGCACCTGAGCTACTTAGAGACAAAATTAATAAAAAAACACAAAAGAAACTGATATTTATAGTGTTGGAATGTTAATGTGGGAAATATTTGCAGGCCATCCACCATTTGATGATAGAGCTCACAATTGTAATTTAATTTGTGATATATATGAAGGTTTACAACCACCAATATTACCAGGAATGCCTGCTGATTATGCACAAATGATGTAGAAGTGGATCCATCTAAAAGACCAACTATTGGAAAACTTCTTATTTTTGCTAAAAATAAACTTTTAATAATAATACCACTGGTAGTAATAGTAGTGATTCACAACAAATACACAAATCACATCCAGATGCGTATCATACAAGCAGAATATTGGATGATGAAATTACTAAATTAAAAGCTATACAAGTAATGATAGCTCATTAAATTTTGAAGTCAACTCTTTTCTCTAAATGTTGATTTGATAAGGTGAATAAAAATTTCATTGCTAATTAATTGGAAAATTACTACCCATTAATTATTACTAATAAGATCATTTATTACTTGGCTATAATAAAGGAAAAGGATTTATGATGATTTATTAATTATACCTTATATTATATATTTTTATTTTATATTTTTATTTTATGGTCAAATTTAAAATTGATAAAAAGAATTTTACATTTATATCAAATAAACTATTTAAAACGTGAATTGTTAACATCAGAAAAAGTTGCTATTTGTAATGTCTAAAATTCAGGGTGATGAATCCAATTCTCTGTTATTATTATTAGTATTGAAAGCAAGGTTCTAATGAATCAATGAAATTCAAATCACCTAATTTTTGATTTGTTTCATTCAAATTGAATATGAATTGTGCATTGATTTGCTATGAAATAGTTTGGTTTGATTTGGTTCGAATCTAATTCAAATATATATACCATATGAGTTCTGTATAATTTAAAAGAGTTACCTTGGAAATAAATCGAAAATGGCTTACGAAAAGAAAATCGGAAAACACGGAAATATTCAAACCAGCCCAATTTGATATAGTGTTAATCAATGTAATAAACAAATAAAATAACTCGCTTTCGATTACAATAACACTGTCAGTATTTTCAATTGACCTTTAGACAATACTTTGTTAACACTCACTAGTTAACCAACGTTAGTCCTACCTAGCCTGAAGCAAATTACGTTGTTAACACTCGCTAGTTTCAAGCAACAATTTTTACAAAAAATTTCTTCTTTTTTACAAATTAAACTATTAATATTTCTTACAGCAAAACTACATTTCATGAAATCTAAAACGCGATCGAATTGTCTTTAGTGCCCGAGTTTGAAACGTACATAGGCGAGTCAATATTGAAACTTTTACATGCACACGAGTTGTGTTAACTTGATATTTTTCGATTTTCGGCTTTAAGGTAAACTACGCGTAATAGTAAATACACATTAATTTTAATAATAAAATAAAAACCGTTCTTGTGCCATCTTTAGTGTCTGGTTTGAAAAATACAGGCTAGTCAATATTTGGTATGTAGAATGACCTCGTAAGAGAAGTTTAGGTGCAAATTTTTAATTTTGAAGTTTAAAAGTGACAAAGGAATTCCTTCACTAGGATTACGATGAATCAATCACTAGAGTGTGATGATGATGAATTTCTTTGGATTTTTTCTTTAATAATACAATTTTTATCAACTTGTCAATTAAATTAATGATCATCAAGATATATTATAGTAAGTACTGTACATAAATATATATAAATATACATACATATATATCAAAAAAAAAAAGAAATGACCATATACAAAGAAAATATACATGAAAAATAGTATATGGGAAAGATATTTAAGATAAAAGTCTGTCAGTGATTAAACTTGCGCGATCAAAGGCATTCAAATTCTTGTGAGCGATTATTTGATAACAGGTGGCACTGCCTTGACGAGAAATGATAGTTGACCAAGCTAAGAAAATTTCCCAAATACTAAAGAAACATATATATATAAATACAACGTATGTGTATATTATAAATAGGAATCAAAATATAAAAAAAAATATAAAAACTTACCGATACCATCTAATAATTAAAAACAATAAACGATAATATTTTAGTTTCCATTATTATAAAAATATGTTATTATTATTATTATTATTATTATTATTATTATTATTAATTTACCTTATTCCATATTTTGCAATGATAGTATCTTTATTTTTTAACCAGTTCTGATACCAACGCCAAATAGTACCAGAATAATGAACACCGATTGTGTCTGCACTATAAACCTCAAATCCTGCACATTCCAATTGATTAATCACCCAGGCTAAAGGACAAGAGGCATCTGCTCCAGGGAAAATATACTTAGCCATAAACAATCCCCATATCAAGTCTTCGTATTGCCATGCACTGAAATTGAAATTGATTATAAACTAAAAATAAATTCAAACATTACATTTTATTTTTGTTATATATTATGAATTTTATATACCGTCTGAGACCTGCAATTTGTAAAAAGAATAAACCATCATCTTCAAGCATGTCTCTGACTTGTTCCAAAAATGTGGAAAAAAGCCTAACGCCAACATGTTCTGCCATTTCAAGACATGTGATTTTATTATATTTTGGAGTAGGAGGTATATCACGATAATCCATACAGTGAATACTTGCTTGTTCTTGGCTAACCCCATATTCTTTGATTCTATTATTACCAAAGGCTGTTTGGTTACGTCCAAGTGTAATACCAGTTGAGTTAGTTTCATAATTTTTTGATGCATAGGCTACAAGCGTACCCCAACCACAACCAATATCCAAGTGTCGTTCACCCTTCTTAAACTTCATTCTTTCGCAAACTAATTTGAGCTTGTTCTCTTGTATTTCTTCTAAAGTTTCGTTTTTAGTACCATCAGATATGATCCCTGATGTATAAATCATAGTTGGACCTAAAAATGCAGCGTAAAAATCATCACCACGATCATAATGATCTCTAACTTGATCTTCATCTTGTTTTTTGGAATGAACTATAGTTTCAGGAATCCATTGAGATATAAAAAATTTGGCTTGAATCAAACCAAATTCAAACGATGCCCAATCATGTCTTGCTTCGAGGATTTCAAGCGCATCACCACAAAGATCGATTTTATTATCAAAATAATTCTCAAAAAAAAGTTCCATTGGAATCTTTTTTCTGCCGGAGTATATTGATAATGATGCGTCCTTTATCTTGATATACTCTTCAACATTTTTTCCTGGAAGGTTAACTTTATTCTTCCATGGTGAAGAGTATTTTGAAGTACCAAAAAAATATCCTACAAAAACCACAAGTCCCAAAGGAAGCAGAAAAATAATGAAAGACCAGAAGCCCAAACCAAAAGAATAAACGAAAAACAAGGGTAAACCAATCATTCCGCCGACTAAATGATAATTGTTGTAACTTTGGTTACCCACTCCTTCAGCAGGAAAAGGCGCATTTTTAATGGCAGACC